TCTTACTGGAGAGTCAGTTCCCGTTGAGAAGATAGTCGAACATCTGGAAGATGACGACCTCGGCATTGGCGATCGGATAAACATTGCCTATGGCACAACAACTATTCGGAAAGGGCGTGGTAGGGGTGTCGTTATTTTTACTGGTATGCAGACTGAGGTTGGCAAGATTGCTGCTTCGACCGCAAAGAAACACCGCAAAGCTGGTCGTTCCATGAACTATAAGAAGTACGGAAAGCGACAGCCAATTATTGGTCTTTTTAGACGCATCTACGATTTCATTGGCAAGTTTCTCGGACTGACTGAAGGAACACCGCTTCAGATCAAGCTAGCAAAATTGGCCTACGTACTTTTTGGCTGTGCTCTCTTGCTTGCCGTCATCGTATTCGCCGTCAATAAATTTTCTGTCGACCGGGAAGTTGTCATCTATGCTATAAGTACTGGTATTGCTATCATACCTGAATCCCTCGTTGCGTAAGTTCTCGGCACAGATATATCCTTGTGCCACTATCACTAAAACTAATATGTTTTCTAGAGTCTTGACCATCACTATGGTTGTTGCCGTTACTGTCATGCGCAAGTCTAATGTAGTAGTCCGAAACTTGTCCGCCCTAGAAGCTCTTGGTGGTGTTACCAATATCTGCTCCGACAAAACAGGCACCCTGACTCAGGGGGCAATGATAGTGCGGAAAGTATGGATTCCCTCTAAAGCAATTTATACGGTTGAAGATTCCAAGCATCCAAGTAACCCATCCGAGGGGAGGGTCACGTTCTCTGAGGTTGATGACCAAGACCAAGAGCCTGAAAAAAGAGATTTTGACCAAGAACGTAGCGCGGCAGTTCTTAAGTTTGACGTTCCAGACGAGAAGCTCAATCCTCCTAGACATAAGAAGGAAGATGAGAAAGAGGCCACTATGAACCCTAAACTAGAGGCCTTCCTACTTTCTGCAGCACTTTGTAACCTTGCTACAGTTAGACACGAACTAGAACCTAGCGATGGTCGTCCCGAATGGCAAGTTACAGGCGAACCGACCGAGATTGCCCTACAAGTATTTGCGTATCGTTTTCAGAAAGGGAAGAAGATCATGGAGGCAGAGGGTTGGAAGCAAGTTGCAGAATTTCCCTTTGACAGTAGTATCAAGCGTATGTCTGTTGTCTACAATGGTCCAAACCTTGATCATAGTATGGTGTTCACCAAGGGCGCCGTTGAGCGAGTCATTGACCTTTGCTCTACTGTCGGTACTGAAGACTCCCAAGAGCCAATGACTGAGGAGTACAAAGAGCGAATTCTAAAACAGATGGACATTTTTGCTAGTCAGGGGCAGCGTGTCCTCGCTATCGCTTCTCGACCGTGGGAAGGGAAATATCAGGAAAAGACTATAGCTGAAAACCAGGAAGGGGAAGACCCTCTGCGAAAGCAAGTGGAGAGTGGCCTTACACTTCTGGGACTTGCGGGGATCTATGATCCGCCACGGAAAGAGACGACGCCGGCGATCGCCGAATGTGCTACTGCTGGCATCAAAGTAAGTCTTTTTATACTCGTTAACCCACCTCTTGAGGTATAATAGCTACCTAGGTACTAACCTACTACGTTGCAGGTACACATGTTGACGGGCGACCATCCTGCTACGGCCGAAGCGATTGCTAAGGAAGTGGGTATTATCCCCAGAAATCTAAGTGTTCTCAGCCATGAAATCGCCAGTGCGATTGTGCAGAAGGCAAGCGACTTTGATAAACTCTCCGATGACGAGATCGATGCCTTACCGGAATTACCACTTGTTCTTGCACGTTGCGCTCCGGACACAAAGACCCGCATGATAGAGGCTCTCCGCCGCCGATCTGCTTATATGGCTATGACCGGCGACGGTGTCAATGATGCCCCGTCGTTATCCCGGGCTGATGTCGGTATCGCAATGGGTTCGGGATCTGATGTAGCCAAGTCTGCGGCTAAGATCGTGTTGACCGACGACAAATTCAATTCTATCGTTGCTGCCATCCGTGAGGGCCGTCGAATGTTCGACAACATTCAGAAATTCATCCTACATCTACTTACCTCGAACGTGGGAGAAGTTATTCTTTTAATATGCGGTCTCGGATTCCAGGACGAGTCAGGTCTTTCGGTATTCCCCATCTCACCTCTCGAAATCCTTTGGATCAATATGGTGACTTCGTCGTTCCCCGCCTTCGGCCTCGGTCGTGAGCCTGCATCTCGTGAAGTGATGCGTAAACCTCCGCACGACAGGAAGCGAGGTGTATTTACGAACCAGATCCTGATCGATATGCTTGTTTACGGGCTGCTAATGGGCACTCTGTCACTTATGTCATTTGTCATCGTCATCTACGGGGTGAACGGTGGACAGCTAGGCGTAAATTGCAACAGGGAGTACGGCGCGGACGGACTTTGCGAACCTGTGTTCCGGGCGCGAGCTACCGTGTTCGCGGAGCTGACGTGGCTGATACTTATTAGCGCCTGGGAGTTCAAGGACATTCGCCGATCTATGTTCCGTCTCAATCCAGATGATAGCTCTAAGTTTCCGCTGTTCAAAGACGTCTACGAGAATAAGTTCTTGTTCTGGGCTGTGGTCCTGGGCGCTGTTAGCGTGTTTCCCGTTGTATACATTCCCACAATAAATACGAACGTCTTTAAGCACATTGGTATTAGTTGGGAATGGAGTCTTGTTGTCGCCGCGACCATTGTGTTCGTTGCTGGCGTGGAACTCTGGAAGTTGGCTAAGCGACACTTCAGATTACTCGAGGATGCTGCCGTCATAAGAGGGGCATTCTCCCAAGGGAGCGAGGAAGGGGGCCGTAAGTTCCTCCACGCGGTCAGCTTTAGCAGTTTAAAGAGCTGGCGGAGTATCGGGCGAACCCATACCACTGATACCCGGGCTAGTATGAAGGAGAAGAGGGACACAAGTCCTGTATAAAGGCATACATCTTGGAGAGGACATACCTTGTTAGCTGGATGAAAGCGATAAGTATGCCCTCTCCGGGTTTGAAAATTCGACATGATAAAATGGGGACGGTATTTACCGAATATTGTTTAGACAGTCGGAGAAATGTTTCTCGGCTAGGATACACGAAGGATACACGAAGGATACGAGATGGTGTAATTGTCGTATACTTACTATAGATACCATATTGACGAATTTTATGTCTTGCTTTCCATATTATTTCAACTATCTATAAAAAATGGCCCAGAAATACAATGTATTAACCTAAAGCTTAGAGATATCAGTATATGAGAACTCTATAATTATTCAATTTTGACTGTTTTAATACTATAACTTTCCATTCTACAATGTCAAATATGAAAAGGGGTAATGAAAGCCGAAAAGGGGCTAAATTGTGCTGAGTCATCCATCCTGTAAGGTAGCATGGCCCCACGCCCCAGATCTTTTGTGGCACGTCGCATCGTGTTCAATTGTTAATTGTCCCTTATCAATTGTCAATTGTTCCTTAACCCAATTATCGAAGCTACGCGCCGAATTCCAACTTCACATCGTCCAACTTCAGTCCGCTCCTTTGCCCTGTATCTGTAACTTTACTTCACTTTCTACCTATACTAATTACAATTCCTCTTATTTTTTAACACTTACATCCTGAATAATCAAGGTTGCAATCGCAATGGCTCCGACAAAAGCGACCGCAACTAAGGACAAGTACTCGGTTATCCTGCCGACGTACAACGAGCGCCGCAACCTACCCATCATTACCTGGCTCCTCAACCGCACCTTTACCGAGAAGTACGTCATCTCCCCTTCTTATTCACTCCTTGGGTATGACTAGGAGCTAACTGCGGTATAGCAATCTCGACTGGGAACTCATCATCGTCGACGACGGCTCACCCGATGGAACGCAGATCGTAGCGGAACAGCTGGTCAAGGCCTACTCGCCGCACGTAGTGCTGAAGACGCGATCGGGTAAGCTCGGGCTAGGAACCGCATACGTACACGGGCTGCAGTTTGTGACGGGCAACTTTGTTATCATCATGGACGCCGACTTCAGTCACCATCCCAAGTTCATCCCGCAGATGATCGCGCGCCAACGGGCCGGCAACTTCGACATTGTCACAGGGACCCGATACGCGGGCAACGGCGGTGTGTACGGCTGGGACCTCAAGCGCAAGTTTGTTAGCCGCGGCGCCAACCTGTTCGCCGACACCGTCCTGCGCCCCGGCGTCAGTGACCTGACCGGCAGTTTCCGCCTCTACAAGAGATCCGTCCTGCAGAAGGTCATCGAGAGTACTGAAAGCAAGGGCTACACCTTCCAGATGGAGATGATGGTGCGTGCCAAGGCCATGGGCTTCAATGTTGCTGAAGTTCCGATTACTTTTGTTGACCGTCTCTACGGCGAGTCGAAGCTCGGTGGCGATGAGATCGTCGAGTATGCGAAGGGCGTGCTCAGCTTGTGGTTGAAGGTTTGAGGTGGAAAATATACCCCAGCTATGTGTGTAAGAGGTAAAGCAATTGGGTCGGCTTGGCCTCTGGCTAGATGGTTTTATCTATGAATGTACCATTAATGCTCATACATAGTTAAAGCAGGTGAAATATTGTGATATCTATTCTTGCGCGATCAATTTTTTAGACGTAACAAACGCTACGGCTATTAACTGCCATCTACCATGACACATGATATAGGATTCTCATCCCTAATCAGACACATACCTGATACGATAAAACCTTCTCTTAGTATCACAATAACAACCCTTTTATTACTCTTATAAAACTACAAGCTAATGAAAATTAAATAGCTGAACATCCACCAGCACAATCCTGACAGTCGGAATGGTGAAATAGTAAGAGGAAAAGGATCGCTTTCCTCGGACGGCCCCCAACCGTATACCGAACCCCTTTACGAGAACTACGTCCCGAGAAGGAATGTTAGGGGGTAAATTACTCACCATATTAAAATTTTTCAACCTACTATGCATTCTCGGTAGTCCTCAGATTCGAGCGTCTCTAAGACTGTAGAAGCTCAATAAGCTACTGTCCTCCCCGAAGTTAAACTTCAGGCAGATGAGTGGCTCCGTATCCGGGAGGCATGAAAGGGTCATCCCACTATAGCAATAGGTTAGCGATCGGTATTTTGATTAATGAAGGTTAGGGGAATTTGGCAAATCGAAACAGGTTATAGGGGCTAGAAAGGGGAGATCAGATGTTACATACATTCACCCTATCCTTATCAGGGTATTCAAAATATCCCGAGGTTCCCTGCCGTTCTGTAAACCAATCTAGGTATCTTGCAGGAAGGCCAATTATTTCCTCTAGGGGTGCCGAATTACGGAGTATTTTATGTATTCCGCTGTAAAAATCCGAATTTGACGTGTCTCGAGAATAATTGATGATACGTTCGCATATCTTCATCCAGCGCCTGTGAAACGGTGAGTTAGTTCGGTTTTATAGGGGCTGGAGCGGGAATATGACTTACTCTATGTGGTCGGCGTCCAAGGTCCCCTGCATGAGCCTTATCTCCAGCGTCCCTGATTCCTTCTCTCTATTTGTGGATAAAAGGTCACCAGAAATCCGGAATTTTACATAAAGATCAGTATAGTTAGACATGCCTTCACTTAACTCCGTGATCCTTTGGTACTTCCAAACCTCATTGACTATTTTTCGGATCTCGTCACTGACGTTGTACGTATCCGTTGAAGATAGTGTAAATGGTACATGGTTACTCATCTCAATCATACTCCTTCCGTAAGCCTCTGGGTCTGAGTTTTCGACGGTTGACAAGCAGTCAAGGGGGGGTTTACCATGCAATGCTTTGTTGATTGGGCAATGCTCCCGGATAGATAAACAGTAATCGTTGGATTTGTCAGACCGATCGCGTCGGTGAAGTTTTTCCAGATCTTCCTCAAGAATAAGCCAGAGTGTCGAGAACTATATTCTGAAGTTAGCATCGGTTTATTTTATAGAATGAAACGTTATGAGGGCTTATCAACTACTATTCGGTGGCCTCCTGATATCCTAGCTCATTGATAATAGTGAGGTAATATGTTGAATGTATAAAGCAAATGTTCCAACTTACCTTCTTAAGATGTAATAATGTCCATCCCCCAGCCTGTCCAAAGTGGACATGGAGGCCAGTCTGTATGAGCGACATCGGTTTATGAATACAGAAAGCCCCTCGGAGAGCAGCGCACTATATAATAATTAAGAGTTAGTCGTCTTAGGTTAAAAATAAAAGCAGGAGTTGTATTGGACTCGAGGGTGATACTTACAGCCCTCCGAATAGCAGGAATAGTGTCCGAGTTGTTATAGTCCAGAATGGATGTCCGCAGTTCTCCCTGATACCAATCATAAAGATTCAAGGGGTTCTGCGTCAAAGTTTTGTATCCATCTTTATCTAAGACTGGGTTCCCATTTGCGTCTAAGGATATGAACGAATCGGGAACAGAATCCGAGTCTGCTGGAACCCGATAAAGAAGCATACATTGATAATCTTGATAGTCGTGTGGTTTTATGGTCGGATCTACACCGCACGTCCAAGCTCTATACAAAGGGTTAGATCCGGGGATATTAACAGCCTTTGGGTCGATCTCCCTTGACACCTGTTTCTCATACTCCTCCAAGGCTTCTACCGTTCGAGCCTTAGCATATTTTTTAAATCTGGTTCGTGCCTCGTTGAATCGTACTGGTCTTTTGGAACCCAATCCTTTATAAATAACCTGGAGATTCCTTTCACCGAGAAGATCTATATCCCGATCCAAGGTACGATGTAATTCCAGTGAATTCTTTTCATGGAAATCCACAAACTGTTCTACCCAATGCTTAGCGCCGATGTGGTAGTTCTCGCTGTTTTCTATAGAGTAATCCCATGTATATTCGCCTATAAATGACTTGAGGTTAGTAGCATTTCCGATTAAATCTTCTTCCTTGCTATATGTCCAGCCGAATTCTGTGCTGGGTACGAACTCATCCGCCAGCTCGTTATCGCCCCAAGATTTCACCGCCAACACTCCATTCTTCCTAAGCTCATCAATTATCTCATTACGAACGGTAATCCTGAACTCGTTGGATAAGTCGTCGTAGGCTTCTAGTCTGCGTGCTAGCCATCGTTTATCCTCTTGATGCGGATCTGGGCCCCCTTCGGCTGTTTTCACAGCGAGCAGAAACTCAAATTCGACACCTACGGTGGTTAGATGTCCCGTATTGGAAGTTTTAAAATTCAATATTCTCTTTTGTATTGATCTGCCTTGGAATCGTCGTCTGGGCCACTTGAACAGGCTAGAACTCTCCCTATGGTTAAACGTGAATCTTCTCCCCTTATAGGGTAAGGGATTTTCGCTTGCCATTATTTCAAGAATGTTTTTTCAAGTAGGTAATCTATTGCTTTCGGATGGGTTGACTTAGTTTAACAGGCGTCCGCAATTATGTATCGTCAAGATTGGGTTATTGAGCTAGTTGAATATAGAGATTCAGAAATTAATTCGACTTTGAATATCTAGATATTTAACTTCTTGGCCAGCTTTCACAATCAATGGAATTGTTTAGTAGTTCTATTGTACAATGGCTTCCTCGATGTTAGTTGTTTAATTTCTAAATAATTACGATCTGTATATAGTTAATCGACTGTTCTCTAGGTCTTTGTGAGTTTGTATGAATATGAACAACCCTGGAACAATTCATTGAGAAAGGCGTTGTGACTGATCAAGTTGAATTCGGATTACCAATAGTAATGTATTATTCAGCTTGGAACACAGAACCTTAGAAGAAGTTCTCGACATGATATTGCTCTTGCTGAGGAATATTATAAGATATATGCCCTCGGAATATCAAACCAGGAGAGATCTTGAGCCTAGAAGCCATATAAGCCATATAAGCTAGGTACCTATGTACCCTCTAAGGGTCGTCACCCCGCTAATCCCTTTATCGCCTTATCGCAGATGCTTTATCGACCTGGAGTGCAGAGACTCTTAAGACATCATTTTAGCTTTTTACTATTTCAACGTTTTAACGTTTTAACAATTGACTCTCATAAACTTAACCCCAAACTAATCTCAAACTTGTCAACTTGTCAATTTCCAACTTCCAACTTCCAACTTCTCAGGACATTTTGTCCTGGACGTGTGTCTTTCGTTCCACCATTCGCTTTAGCTGTTACTTGACATGACCTAAAATGCGCGGACGCGGGGGCGCCCGAGGAAGCAGAACACCTTCTGCACCATGGAGTCGTCTTAAACCGGTGGATTTGGACCCGCTGGAGTCGATGGGTTTGCCGTCCAAAGGTGATAGTAGGTTGGTGATTAATCTATTTCATGCTCTTGGTCTATTCAAGAATAAAATATCAACCCAGCTCTAACAAAACACGGGCAGATTGCTTGATTTCAAGACTCAAGAACGTTACTACACCAAGATTGTCGAACGCTACATGACCTTTTGCTCTGATGCCGGCGAACGTGATGAACTCCTTCGCCGCTTCGCATCGTTAGAGCTCTCGTCTGTCTCTAAGCACGATAACCCCATCGCGAAGGTTATCCCTAGTTCCTCCTCCCTACCTGCTTCGAATCGACTTTCAATAGCACCAGCTACCATACCGAGTAATACGAAAGGTTTATCCGATGTCTTGTCGGCGTTGAGGAAGTTACGAGAGGGCATTGTAGCCTCTAAGCGTGTCGACGACTTTGCTATTCAAGTATACCTCTTTTGTATCCGACTTTCTGTTTTGGTCAGGCATCCTGAATCATACCATCCAGCTATCCTTCACCTACTGCGCCGAATCCAGCCGCTGCATAGCATGACGTCGGTCGAGATGAGCGAGGTGGTTGGTTATCTTGTCCTTGACACGGCGTGTAGGAGAAACAACTTAGCCGAGGCGTTTTCCGTGCGACATAAATATCGGCTGAGGGACACAAAGATTGACATGGTTCTCGATGCGCTAGCACACGACAACTATATAGAATTTAATCGCCTGAAGAGAAGGGTTGATGGGCACAAGGCGAAACTACTCGAATACGCTGACGAAGGCATGCGGAAACACCTACTCAAGTGCTTCGGGAGAGCATATTTGAGCGTGGACCTGGACTTTTTGGAGTCATGCTCAGACTCTAAATGGGGAAGCCTCACGGCAGAGGACGGTGTCGGGTGGGAACTAGATGGTGGGAAGGTTGTCATCAGGAAGGTCAAGGCTCGGTAAGTCTGGTAGTATATATTTATTGATACCCTTAGGCGATATGACCATCTTCAAACATTCTCGTGATACTACAAATTTCATACAAATCATCCGGTCTTCGTTTTAGTTATCTTCTCGCCCTGTATTTTATGGAACTGGAGCCTAGTGCCAAGACTGCCAAGACTTTCGGGGGTTATATTGTGAAGCAATCCTGTGGAAGTGCTGTTGGGAGGGCTGCGGTAAAAACTCGATACTACTAAGTCCTATATCAGGTAGTTCCTAGATTATAATTGGACAATGCCATAAGGAGTTATTGTGCCAAGCTCTTATACCGCTTCAGAAAAGATATTAATGAGGGTAATTTCCGACTTTCAGCTAATACATGTATATCTACGGCGTAGTGCCATCGATAGAAAAGGGTGGCCGCATTTATTTTACCTTCGTTATCATCATCATAGTCTTGATCCAGCAAAAATTGGCACTCATTCGTTTGGAACAATCATTTAGCTGTTCCGTTAGTATCAGCCCTACGTATTTGCGCAATTTGGCATATCTTATAGCATATAAAAAATGGCGTGGATCGTGTCTAATCCACTAGCCTGGCTTCTGGTCGCCCATGGCGCGCTTGCAGGTTTGACAGTTGACGTCGAAAATACAGGTTAGTATCCCCGGTGAGAGGATGCCTTTTCCGAATAAATATTCACAGCTCATACGAGTCACTAGACTCTATCAAGGCGGCAGCGGCTCTCGTAGCGGAGGATCTCATGGGACTTTATGATGGCGAAAAACCAGGTAATGCCCCTGGCATTTTACCTGGGGTTGCCGAGGGGGATGTTAGTTGGTGGACAGGAGGTGTTCTATGGGATACTCTGCTGGACTACAAAGATCGCTCCGGGGAGTCCAAGTATGACGAAACTATCTCGCGTGGTATCCAATGGCAGACTGGACCGTATGACGACTTCCTCCCTATAAATTGGTCCGCGACAATAGCCAACTCCGATCAAGGCATATGGGCTCTATCCGCTGTCACGGCTAACGATGCCGGCTTGCAATTAGAGAATGACTCTCCCCGGTGGCTTACGCTGGCTAAGAACGTCTTCGACGGCCTAAGTAGCGAGGATAGACGAGTTAAAGAAGGTGGCTGCGCTGGGGCCTTGAGGTGGCAGATATATCAGGTAAATAAGGGCTATAATTATGTTGACTGTTGGTGACCCTGTCATATTAGTAGTTTTCTGCTGTATCCCCTATAGTCTGGACTCTGGTCACTAACTTGATCCTAGCTTCTTCGAACATTGTATACTTGAATCTTGCTGCTCAATTGGCACATTTGACTGGTGAACAATCCTATGCCAATGAAGCCGCTTCTACATACGACATACTCACGCGTATCGGATTCATCACCGAAAACTTCGATGTCTACGATGGGGCACATGTGGATGACTGTACGGATATTAACAAGGTGCAATTCTCATGGAATGCTGCGTATCTCTTGGAGGGCTCAGCGTTCATGTATAATCTTGTAAGTACCATACCTATTCATTCATCCTTCTCCCAGGTATATGTTATCCCTAGACACTAACAGGATATAGACCGGAAACGATACCTGGAGAACACGCGTGGACGGCCTTGTCGATCGAACTCTCGAGTTCTTCTTTCCGGATGGCGTCGCGACCGAGGTCGCGTGCGAAGAGACATCTTGTGACTCGGACATGGAATTCTTCAAGGGAATGCTGCACAGGGCGCTCGCGTCTACCATGCAAGTTGCGCCGCACACCGCTAGCAAGATCCAGCCTAGTCTCAAATCAAGCGCTAAGAAGGCCGCAGCCGAGTGCACGGGTGGTAACAACGGTCGACTATGTGGATTCGTCTGGAGCACCGGCAAATTCGATGGCAACACAGGGGCAGCTCAGCAGATGAACATGTTAAGTGCCTTGGTAAGCATCCTGCCTAGGAGAGAGCAGACCTCTGGGGGCAACAGCAGCGCTGGTAGCGGTAGTGGTAATAGTAGCGGAAGTGGAAACGAAGATTCACAAGGGAACACTTCTAGCGATGACACTCACGGCAATGCAGGAACGAAGACTAGCGTAGGCCTTGCCCTCTTGGCATCAGTATTACTGGGAAGCCTCCTATTGTAACATTGTAACATATTATGGTGTACCTTTTTATGTTTACTTAGTTATATAGAAGTATATAGATGAGTTATTATATAGAACCTATGAAATATTCTGCCCGGGCACCCCTGGGTATCTAGCCCAGGCCTTGCTAGGATAGTCGATGATATTTTCAAGGACGAAAGTGTTAGAGTTGGATCGTCGAAAATCAACGAGTTAGTAGTAGATTTCCCGCAACTGCTTCTTGTCCTTCTCTGAATACCCTGGAGGATATTATAAGCCCCCAGCAGCCCTTACAGGTTCGTCCTTCATCGTAGGTGCAGCCAATGGTGTCCGATATCATCTTGCAGCCGCATATTAAGTTTACCGTAGTCTCACGACACATGTTGAGCGCTGTATATGTTAGTAGCAACATAAAATAGATAGCCAATCTTTTCTCTCTTGAGATGAGACTTGGAACCTTCTAATATAAATACTAAGCTAACTCAACAAGTTAATATACGCATTTGCTTATATCTAGAACCATAAAGGATTCAATTACTTTGAATATTGTTTTGAGATGGCATTAAAAAGAGCATGATACAAAGACATTTTAATCACTCGGGGCTAACGTGTGGGCTGCACAATGAAGAGCATGTCTGAATAATAGTATTCAAAGAAAAGTCTTAGAAAAGCTATATTTATATCAGCCGTATTTTACTTGTTTGGGTTATGATTATCTTTATTTTCTATTATGAGATGTTTCCGATTTCTACTAACCTAGGTATTCGACTGCTGACGCTATTATTGGGTACCTATAGCCCAAGCAAGTGACAGATCTGCAACTTAGGTCTGATTCTCATTGTCTTTAGATATTTAAAGTATCATGTGCATGTCCTTTATCCTAATACCCACCGTCTATAGAGTTTGTAACTGGATGTTAGTAAACCTAGAGTGAAATTGACTTTACGCTTCGTCAACTTTGTGACCAAGTGGCTTCTATGGTATTCCGGACAGTACAAAGCGAGAATGTTCTTTGTGGAAAAGGTTTAGATCATACATACACGCCGGAACAGGTCTTTCTTCTTTCTCAAGACGTTAACTGATGCATTCATAACCATCATCAGTGGGCACCTCTTACGAGTCAATATCAACTTGCTCTAAAGAGTCGAAACAAAACCACCATTGCCACTCAAATAAACCCAAGTCAATATGTGCAAGAGTCACGACCTTTTCTATATGTGCGGATGCCGGTTCGTTGAAGAGAGCACCGGCGAATGGAAGTACGAAATCGAGCTATGCGACAAAGCTAAGAAAAGACAGAAGCCCTGCGCGAAACTCGAAGTAGCGCTGCCGATCTTTGCCAAAGACACATACTGCGATGATCCGCACTGCCCAGCTTATGGTTGAGCTGACAGACCAATAAGCTAGAGATGTCGCAGAATTCGGCGCGCCCATCAAGCCTCTTAATGGTATGCAGTTCTTGATACGATATCACATCGAATCCGTATGGTGGATTCTCAGGCGCTGGTCGAAGAGCCGTCATTGGTTATGCTCTGCGTTGGATGCCTCCTCTCTTGCTATCAAACAACAGGATTCTGTTATTAATTCATATCCGAGAAACCATGGGTTCGCACAGATGGTTACTGGTAGATAATGAAGTTGAGTCGTTAGGTTAAAATGGCAAATCCCGTACTACCTACACATACATAGTATAGATGAATACATAATCCTAAGAACATGAGAGTACCATGCAGATATGCCAGCCCGTAATGTCCTACACCGCCAATCAAAGTAGACTGAGTTCACCTCGGTTGTACAAGGCACATCGGCTTGCATCAGCAGACAAGGGACTTTTCGTGGGATCAAACGCCAGCCTATAGACGATGTCTTTTTGCCTTCTTTTTCATACCCAAATACATGGTTATATTGCCCAAAGAAGTCTTGATGATGTGTGTGCAACAATACCTACCTAGGTACCTCTCAACCCGCAGGTTCGAGTTGATAGGTCAGTTCACACTAGCCAATGTCAGAATTGTCCAGCCGGTGGCGCCAGCTATCACTATGGAAACGGATAACCCCTGTCATGAAAACATGCGTGGGCATGGGTTTAGCCAAGCTCTGCTAAGCCCAATTATCAGCCCTACATATATGCTATGATATGTAATCTTGCTATGTATGTACTCCCTCCTTCGTGTTAGTATATGGCTGTTGGAGCGCATATCTTAGTTGTGTTAAGGTATACCTTAGGTAGTGTTGTAATGTAGGTGGTTATGCATGGGTCCTGATGAGCCGTGTGAATAATTTTCTTTAATGAGGCTCCTGGTCTTTACTGAAGGCTAAGGACGACAACGCAGCATAATACCTACAAGGGATATGTGCTGAAAAACTGGATACTCAACTCGGATGGGGCGAGACTCAAGCGGAACACTGCCCCATAGGCTGGGCACCAGCGCAGAGCTGGGTTCGTTGGCCTGAACATATAACTTGCGGAGAGCCGCCGTTCTTGGCTTCGGTTTGTGCATCCACAGCATTCCTGTCTTCTGTTATCGTGGGAGACGATCGTCGACTAGCTAAGTAGGATCTTAAAGAAAAGCTTGTTGCGATTCCGAGATGTCCCATCACGATCTTGACTACGCCAGCCGACGGTTGCAGTTGGTGGGTTCCCGAGTGGTAGAGGCCGAGGACTCTGGTCACCGAGTTATTCCTACGCAGCATCATCATCACCATCAGCATTCCCACTCTCACTCTTACGATGACACGGAAGAGTCAAGTCCTGAAAAGGGGAGGCACCATACACCGAAATTCCTTAAGGTGAACTTTCTTGGCCCATACGTCTTTCCTGCTTGAACAAGACTAACATATCCTAGACTCACTCAGCTACAAATTTTGAGGTTCGCCAAGGCCCGTGCTCCCATTAGTTTTCTATTAGGTATTGACATTTGACCTAGCTATTCTACGATTTGTGGTTTGTAGCCAATCTGAATGTCTTTACTAGCGTGAGTTTTCATACATCTGAGACCACATTGCCGTATTAATTATTGGCATAGAAACATGACATCTCGGATATATCGAAGTTCTCGTCTTTTATCGGATACATCGTGTAAGTTAGCTTGGCAGTTCGTGCATCGGAACTTCGTCTCACAGAACATCTAGTCTCTTATGGACAACATGGCTATTAACTACCCTCTACGACGTACGGTTCACAGCCGACAGCGTGTGGGAACGCTGCTGCAAGGCCATACACTTAGGGGTCATGATAGGATTTTCCGAGATTGGTGCCGCCTTCGACCCAAACAACCAGATTGTATCAGTATTTAGGGCGATGTCGCTGTTCCTTGCCGTTTCTCGTTTGGTCCTCGCTTTGCAGTACGGGATGGTCACGTTCCAGATTCGCAAGTATGCCCACGGCAAACGTGCTATGTTCATCACCGCCCTTCTCCATTTCATCGCCGCTGCGATATACTTGGGTGTCTCGTTCAGGTATAACTTGGGCAAGACGAGTCGTGTTTTTCTCGTCTGGTATATTGGCGGTGGTGTCGAGATGGCTCTGCACCTACGCATCTCCCAGCTGTCCCACGTTCTAACATTCCTTGGTACACATCTGGGCGAGCGCTTAAACCTCCTCACTCTAGTCATTCTCGGAGAAGGTATGCTTACCCGCCCCTGAGCAAGAGCAACGCTAACGTACATGGCAGGTTGTATAATTCTGGCCAAGAGTATTACTCTCCTGGTGAAAGATACTTACCTCAAGGAATCCAGTTACTCGATGTGGAGTACGTATTATCACACTACTCAGGTACTTTTTCTATAACTAACATGTCAAGGTTCGACTCTTATCGGTCTCGTTGCCGCCGGTACAGCATTGATATACATAATTTTCCAGCTCTACTTCGACTGGATGCATGATGAACATTCAATGTCTAAACGGCATCAGGTCTTATGGTAAGCATTCCGTCATAGTTCAATTGATCTTTCAGTATTTTCTAACACCTATAATCCTACAGGACAGCGGTACATTTACCCTTCCATATCGCCCTTACTCTTCTTGTTGAAGGCGCAAACCAGTTTATCGTCTGGGCCCGTATCCTCGAAACCTCCAACGCAGCTCTCGCAAAGGTAGTCGATATTCAAACCCAGTTCGTAGACATGACGTCCGAAGAGGTTTCCGAAAAGCTTGCGAGCGTGATTCAACCGTTCCTTAAGAAATACCAGCCCGCCGATGTCCTTGAAACGATGGATTCCGTGAATGAAACTCTAGAGCACATTGCTGATATCCCCGACTCATTCTGGAAAGAAGATTCCCACCCGGATAATTCCACGCTGGTTCATTACCAAAACGATCTGATAGACTTGATGAACACAATGCTCAATGCTGTCTACAATGCTTTTGAAATCGATCCACCTGAAGGGGAAGGGGATGGCCCCAAGCCCGAGTATTGGCAATCCGAAGCAGCCGTAGCAGTTGCCAAAAGGTTTAGATTGGTTGTAAGTTGTTTTCTATCTTACCAGCATCACCCCTCTTCCATATTAACGCAGCTGACGTGATAAATATTAGTATATTTATGCTTTTGCATGTGCTGGCGTAGTCTTGCTCATTTTGACTATTATGCACATCATCTCTAAACGAAGAGGATGGACGCCTTTCAATATTCTCAGAACTAGCGTCTGCATTTTGATTTCCATCTTCCTAGCACTTCTTACTCTAGTAGTAGTCAACCAAGATGCTGTATTCAGAGGCGACAGGCGTACGGCATTCTACGGGAGCTCCTGGATGTTACCGACAATTACAATCAGTTATTTCGTTGTTCTTGTTCTAACGCATCTGCCACACCCATCCGGATTCTGGTTGGGAAGCTTTAGAAAAGGGACATATAAGGCAGTTGAAGTGCCAAGGGGTCCTAAGGGGGTTCAGACCCCACCGCCTTTACGGAACAACCATCACCTCATGGACTACGAAGATGGGCGAGTCGAATCCTCGTCGGGCGAATACGATGTAATAACCCCACCTCTTCCACGATACGAAGAACATAGAGCAAGGGAAGCACGAAGACAGAAACGTAGCCAAGAGAGGCGAAGTCATGCAACGACGCAGGTATGAATAGGGCAATTCATAAAGCTGCGGATAATGATTGGTTATGCACAAGTTAAGCGTTGGCGATTATATATGGATTTTGTGGCTAATAGGTAAATTGTCTCGATTTGAAGAACCTTAGCAAGTAGCTAGGAGTTATGGTTCTCTATGGCGTCCTTTGGATAACAAGTATTTTACATGGCGTTATGGAATTAAAAAGGCTGCCGCCAAGTTGGATTACGATGGGGTCATTTTTACCATATACTATGGCCAGTCTCGACGCTGTATATATCGAAACACGATAGGTGCTACGACAACGTAAATAGGGGGCTAATGTTAGCCTTTCAATGCATACTAAGACAACTCATATTCATGCAAGCCATTGCTGTGAGAATGCGAGCAAGAAGTGAAAAGGCAATTCTATGAATGTACAAAAAACCATGAACTTAGCTGGAACCCCTTTATCCCGGATGACTCACTGGCCTAGAAATCTAGTGATTGCCTCTGCTTAGGCTAGCATACGTGGGGACAACTAGTTCAACCATCTCAAATGGCCTCTTATCACTAACAAGTCTAGGATATATTAGGTACTAACCTGGTAATGTAAGACATGATGCTCAAAGTATCGACAACGATTACGGGTTTCCCTTCCCGACGTATACCGCAATGAGAAGACCCCCAGAATAAGGGGCTGTTGTCATCTTAAATCCGTTGACAGGGTCTGCTAGGTAGCTAACCAAGTCCTTGTATCCATCCACTGCCATAATAGTGTTGTCAGCAACGACCATTGCGCCAACCTTTAATCGTGGGTGCACGAGGACCAAGGTTGGTAGTGCTAGGGGAGTCCAGACTTCTTCATATTAGCTCGTCTCATCATAAAACAGATAATTCCATCTTAAAATGATGAGGAAACTCACTGTCTAGCAGTAGGAAGTCGATTTGCTCAGGTAAATTCGTCTTGAGAGTTTCACGAAGATCACCCTCTCTTAGTTCAATCCACTTCTCGATCTCGTCTCCAGCGGCCTTCCAATGCTCTCGGGCTTTCGCTGCCTTGATGGGCTCATTCTCCGTCGCAATGACCTTTGCATCAGAGCCCTGCAGTCCAGCATTTTGTCCTACAGCCAATGCGAGATATATGGTGCTCAAGCCAAAAGATGTCCCAGCTTCAACGACGAAGCGCGCCTGGGTAGATCGGAGAAGAAGATAGACTAACGCGCACTTGTCGGGATCAAGAGCCACGAACTTGTCTAAAGCCCCTGTTGTCGGCCCATTCCCACCTAGAAATGGGGTCTCGGTGAGGGCCTGTGTATGTAAGTCGCGAAGAACCTGGAGGGTTTGAGGGCTGGCCTCTACAGAAGCTAGCGTTGTCTCGATCTCGGGGAAGTCAGGCATGGTGGATAATGAATTGGTTCTGCTCAAGCATATAGTATCTTAAGGAGACTCTCGGGGCGTTTGCCCCTTTTATATTCATACTTCATCTATTTATGTTGCAGGCAGGGATCTTCGATGTCGAGCACTAAAGTTTCGGTAATAAACCTCAGCAGACCATGGCGATCGAGTGAGTCATATTAGCTTTCCTGTCTCGGCCTTTAATAGTAATATATAGTTTCATTGCATATGATTCTCTGGTAGTCATTGCCAATCAACTACTCCAACTCCGAGGAGATACAAGATCGTGAGAAGCAACGTCCCAGCTACGTCGTGTGATATTACGATTTCCTTCCGATGGCGGCCTAGGTTTTCGATCTAATATGGAATGAGAATATATTGGTCACAAGACATGACTATTTCATGATAGCGAAATAGTGCTTGCAATTCTAACGAAATATATTTATTCAGCGTATTTATAACTTACCTACCTAGGTTAGGTGAGTCCAAGCACAACTTAAATCGATAGCTCCTTAATCCTTGTATATAATCTTTCACTGGAACGACTTTAGATTAAAATACTAGATATTTTGTATAATTTAAATCCCATTAAAAATATTAGCTACCTGTTATAATCATTACTGTTTCTTACAAGCTCAATGTCTTACGTCCTTACTAATGCCAAGTAACCTTAGGGTGCTGATTGAAATATCGAGATAGGTTAGAAGACCTATACTTAGATTGCCGAATACTATAACCAAAATTGCGAGTAGAAATATAACCTTCAATCCTTGGTCTTCTAGGATACATTTGGTAAGGGCTCCACTCATGGATGATATAATCCTCAAGTGCAGGGTTAAGATATTCAGCTTCTTCGTCTACCACAGGTACATACTTAGCATCATTTTCTAGTATGGTCTCTATGTGATCAGGTGGCTTATAGTCGGTATCTTCGTCTCCTAGATCGTCGATTTCCCACCCTTCACCTCGCATAGTTAAGGTCTTAAAGAGTTCGTAGTCTGTATTTGCCTGACGGAAATATTCCTCAGTCGAAGATTCCTCGGTCCATTCGAAAAGCTCAAGGACCCTATGGTCGCCGTCAGTGAGACGTCCATTGCAACGTCTCTGGAATCCGGTTGTAAATGTTGTTGGAAATCCTCTCTCATCTACAAGTACATTGGCGTGTCCATGGAGGCGACATACATCCTCGCTCGTGCCCAGTCTCAAAGTCATATGTGGATCGGCCTCCACGACGAGATAATCAGTTGGATTTCCAGCGTCGTCCCACTTCGTCGGCACCCTTTCGCCATTGTCATAAACATACTTACTAGTGTGAACTGGACAAATTATCCACACAACTGTACATCCGGACCTCACAGCTACTGTCTTTGCTATATCGGTATTAGCATCGATCGCACGGTATAGGTCTGCTTCGTCCTCAAACTCGGGGATTGACAGTTCCTGTTGTTGTTTTTTCGTCAAGCGAGCAGCCCAAATCACCATAGGATTATCGAGTGTACCTTCGCCATCTCTAGGGCATTTTTCAAGGTCATCCGTCTTTATCCGTAATTTCGGTCTACCTCCCCGTGGGAGGTCCATACCAGGCTCCCATTTTCGTCCTTTGGCTTTGTCGAATAACATTTTGAGTGTTCTATCTCGTTATGATGTATTTATTATGGGTTCTTAAACTTGGTATCCAACGCAATACTTTATATAACATCATACCTATTTCTCATATATACACCAATAGAAATAAAGACGACAATGGACAATAAGGGTCGCCATTAAAACTCTGATTCAATTGTCATTTGGGACCATCCGTAACAATTTAGAAACGGGTTCATTGTCTGATTGTCTTGTAGTCTCATTGTGAAAAAAATATTACTCAATGATAGAGTTCAATATATCTACAAAAAACACGTCCGAGTAGTCCCTTGGCTTACAATAGCTGAGTTTCAAGTTTCTCCCGGCTTAAGTACAATTGTTTCAATAATTGTATCATTTCTACCTTAGGTACCTAAGGTAGGTATGGCATTTCCGATACGGACTCAGTTGATGATGATTGAATACAGCTCAAGAACACTGCAACTACATGGATTTGGCTGAACATATTATCTTTTGGCGATTTAACAGGTAACTAAGCTCTTGAAGGAGAGGTTATAGAACTGCAAATTGAGCTTCCAACAAACAATGCAAGAAACAAAGACTCATGTTTAATACGTTTAATAAAATCAGCAGTCTTTCCCAAGACCGGGCACTATGCGGACAAAGAACTAATTTATCCTAAACAGACGGACCGGCTCCAATAGATGTATCTGGTAGACTACCTCTATCTCGCACTCAAACTTATAGAACCGTCATCTAGGCCGTCGTCCCTATAATGAAACCCGATGCTCATATACCAAGTACGCATAGCAACAATATCAAGTAATTTACTTTCTATCTAAATTTCTTATTTGTTGTTAGGAAGTATACCCCACCTGGCGCTACCCCAAGACATCGTGAACAAAGGAAGGTTCAATTTATGTATACCTGTAACCCCAAGAAATTTATTTCACCATTCTTTCCGCAACTGCATAATCCCCCCCCCCCCCCCAATTACTAGGTCGCATCGTATTATCCATTACGTATCTTTAGGCGCCATGAAGCCCTTTCAACGATTATACCAACCTGCCGTGGAAGACACCGGGGAAGTAGAAGACAGAGAGAGGTACCGGCCGGGTGGATATCACCCAATTCATTTCAATGATAACCTGGGACACAACGAACGATTTAATGTCATCCATAAACTCGGGTGGGGTGTGAGCTCTACTGTGTGGCTATGTTTCGATAAAGAGTCTGGGTACTACAGATCAGTCAAGGTTATGACTGCAGACGAATCAGCAGAAGACTGTCCAGAACTTCGCATAATGAAAGCCTTGGGCGGTATAAGCCACCAAGAACTCCAAGATAACCATATTATTATACCGCATGAATACTTCTGGATCCAGGGGCCCAATGGTCGCCATCTTTGTCTAGTTTCGGACCTCCTTGGCCCAAGCTTATTTAGGAATTCACCTCTCGGCACCGGACTCCACACCCCGGAGATATTAACAAACTTAACGTATCAGGTCAGTAAGGGGCTACAGTATCTTCATAAGAAAGGAATTTGCCACGGAGGTAGGTACTCGATCTCTAAGAACCGGTGTATAAGAAATAATATTAACGTAATAAGACCTAAGGCCAAGCAACATACTTATGCAGTTACATCAGTATAGTTTGATGGAATTACCTGATAGTCGGCTCTATAGATACCTTGGGCCACGAGAATGTGAGACTCTTTATCCACGGAATGAGAATACTGCTTCGCATCATGGACCTAGGTACTTGGCACTGCCCGCTTCGTTAGACAAATTAGAAACGAAATGTCGAACCAGTCAAGTAGCTCTTGTCGACTTCGCCCATAGTTTTTATAACTCCAGTCTCACAAGACCTTCTCGATGGCATAGGCAGTATGCTGGACCAGAACTCTTGTTTACGAAAACCCCAAGCGGATTTCCCCAAGATATTTGGGGTTTGGCTTGTACGATTTATGAAGTTAAACTTCAAACACAACTCTTTAGTGAATATGAGGACTACAGTTCCCTGATACGCCAGATGGAATCATGGTTTGGGCCTTTGCCAGTAGAATATCGACAGACTGCAAGCGCTCATTTAGAGAGAGACAGAAAACAGCACTTGATATCGTCTAGTGGAAAGCAACCCTCGAGCAACAAAACATCAATATCTGAGGATAGATTATCCGATCTAGATCAACTGCTTTCGTTATCCCCAGATGAAGAAAAGAGAGCAAGAGATTTATTTACAGAGGGAACTAGCTGGTCAAATCCGTTACAAGCAGCATTAGGTGAAGAGCAGATATGTTATATATATGAAAGGAACGATGCAGACTATACCTCATCAGACAACACGGACACTGATTTTAGTAGTTCAGATGCTGTGGGTCGAGATTGGTCTTCAGAAGACGAAGGATCTCATGTGGACACAAATACCCAATTGGAAATTGATATCCAGGGTATCGAGAATCAAGACCTAGTGTCAGAAGATTCGGATGAGAGGAACGAAGAGTCGAATTCGCCATCGTTACCGATACCTAATATCTTTGTGGATCTAATAGGGCAATCTCGAGACGAGCAAGGCTTCCCTGAAAAGGTACCACAGGTTGAAACGAAAGAAGCGTCCCAAGAACTCCAGTCTAACGAAAATGACAACAATCAAACTAAGACTCCATCGAGTCCTAAAGAGTCCTTAGGGAAGGAAAATACTAGCGAAGACAGGCAGGAAAGAGAAGCGAAACGTCAACGCACGGACAAAAACTCAGCGGAAAAGGGGGGCGAATTAGTGAAGCGGGTAGTTCGAATGCCTAGAGCGGAAGTGCTACTGCTGTCGGATCTTCTAATGAATATGTTTAAACACGATCCGAAGGAGCGTATCGATATCGACGCTGTCGTCAATCATGAGTATTGGGGCGATAAAAGAAATCACTGGCCTGTCAAGAATGAAGACCTTGGTGAAGGAATCCCCGATCCTATATCCTCGAGGACTCGCAGCCGGGCCTCAAAGCCTCAACAACAAGCGGAGCCCGGTTCTCCATAGACAATCGCCCAGGTGCCATTAGGCCAACTTTCCGAATCATTTCTATTCCTTATTTACAAAATTCTGGGGAGAGTCCTGGTATTAGGAAGAGTGAATATCTCTGCTCTTGGGTCTAGAATTTTTGTTGGGGTTGACTGTTGGCTTAAGCGGAGGAAACGTGCATTTTTTGGAGCAGTTAGAAGTACCATAGCACCGTAGTCGTATTTCCGGATCTTCGGGTCCAACTAACTTTTTAATGTTTACCAACCCGGTGGCGCAGACAAATATCGTATCTATTTGTGTAGCACGTTTTCGTACTACACTGTTATACGAGGCTATTGGTGCCAAGGTGAGTACCTATCACAAGGCATTTTTAAGACATTCCCTAGGTAAGGCGTCGTGTTATACTACGAAAAACTCTTAAGAAAAATAATGCAATCCATCTACGCCCTGGTGGCCACCCCAGCCAGGTTTTCTGAAAGTACGACATCGAGCATCTAGGTAACTAAGGATTAGATATAGGTAGTTTCCTTAGGTTAGGCAAACACATAACAATAGCAAGCTTAAGAGAAATTAGCTTAATGAAAGTCCTAGGCCGCAACGTGATATTAAGCTAGGTAGACTTCATCCAACAAGTCTTGGCTATCGGCATACCAAGTCAGCAGAGAGGACGTTATTGAATAACAAGCCTAAAATGCACTTATGGTAACGGATAACAACAGGTCACACACGTGGTGAATTTATTAATAGGCCATGCCAAGCATAAACGGCCTTGGCGTTTGCAGCCACGTCGACGGGATAAGTGCGAGCCCAGCTGGGGGGATATAATCCGCACAGCCACGTAGAATCCGGGGCCTACGTTCAAGTCCCACTCGGCATCGTTATCGTGACCATTTGGAGGAACCCGTTGGTAAGCCGTAATCTTAACCCCATCTCCCTCGCATCTCTGCTAATCTTATTGTCTCCTCTCGACCCCATCATCGGGCCATGATGTGCAAGCTCGCACCAACCTGCGCTCAGCCGCGCTTTGCGATCAGCAGCCAAGACCCGACTATGGCTCCTTCGGAAAATCCAGCCTTGTAGAAGTTTATTTGCTGCGGGGACCAACATGACGATGCTTGTTGATCTCGTAGATATAAATCTCTGATCAGTTGTCGTTCTAAGATGACTTACCATCACCATCTCCGACACATTCTACACATTTAATAATATATTCACTATCTACCTTACTCATAATCTCTCATCACTTCTTTTTAGAAGCTCCTTACTGCTTATAAAAATACCTTCAAAGCTCTAATCTAGCTTCTTCTAATCAATAATATCAAAGATGTCGTCATTTGCCAAGACTGCCGCTTCTCTGGCCTGCCTCGCAGCGGTCACGATGGCGACTCCCCTTATGAAGCGAAGTGAATGGGACTGCCCAACGGGCAAGGTCTTCTACTCATGCTCCAACGGATACCGTGGGTGCTTCGAACAGGACCCTTGCGCTCTTCCTCCAGTTGCCACCACCTCTCTCGCCTCTCCCAGCACTACTACCACTTCCACCATCAGCTCCAGCACTTCTTTCGTTGCTGCTGCTTGCCCGACCGGGACCAAGGGTAGCATCTGGCAACCGTCTATGTACAACCTATTCCCGGAAGACCCCGACCACTCGGAGCCGTCCGTCTCTTTCATAGACATCTTTACCCAGGAGAACAGGCCACCCAAGGAACAGGCTGTTGTCTTCCGGGGCATCCCGGCCGAGGCCAAGACGTGCAACATCAACTGGGACCAAGCCGCCGAGTCGGAGCGCAACTTCACCGTCGACGGCAGCGGCTACGTCTCCCTCCTACAGCTGAACGGCTTCCCCTACGGCGAGCCCGTCTCCTCATCCAGCGTAGCCGCCTTCGAGCCTGCGGGTGCAAACGCTGTGCACGGCGACTTCACCTTCTGGGACAAGCAGACCAAGACCGCCTGGCCTCACTCCATCGGCCCCGTCAACTGCAGCGAGGAGATCTACATCCGGATCGCTCTCGACCCCCTCTCCGGCTTCGGCCACCTCTTCATGGACCAGGACAAGAAGAACGGCTTCCACATCGACTACACGTGCTAAATGAAAAGGAAGGAAATAGGGGGTGTTTGCATTACACCGGTACGGATTCGGAAAACTCACTCATTTACGATCATGCATTAGCGTTGGCGTTTTAACATGGAATTTGCATATGAATCACGCTCCTTTACCAAGATTTGGGGGGAATGCATTTATTTTTAATTCAATAATTAGTTAATATTATACGCAAAATATAGTTTTTACATTCACATAATCTCTTTCCGTATGGCCGCGTTGCATGTATGAGCCCTAGTATCTTGATACGCTCAACGACAAAGGTGACCTCGAGCAATTTAAATTCAAGTCAGCCCCTATTGTTATTATTGGAGCATGATTTTTCCCCGTTGCTAAATCAAGAGGCCCCCTAATGGTATCTAATTGATATAGTTCGAGCTTAAATAAGAGATCCTAAGAGCTGGATACATCCTATCACCACATGTTTACGTCAGTAGGTATTCACTTAGTTAACATCCTTGAGTTTTTTGTCATAAGTATTGAAAATGTTTCATCATCAATGGATATATCCTCGTTGCTTTATGTTGTCTATGTTCGTGACCCGATTCCATGCATGTATCATAATAGTACAATCTATACATTCTGTGTTTATGCCTCATGAACCCAGCGGCTTTTCACTCCCCTGTTTGCTCCGCCCTCGTAAGTCATCTAGCCAACGTTTCTTTTCAACCCTCAGGCTCCTACGCGTCCATATTATCGTGATGAACGTCCAGATGATGGTAAAAGCTAATGGTGCTCCCCAACCTAGGAACTTCATGTCAGTAAGAGGTTACGAGGGATTGGAGGATATTGCAATTCACCTATGCCATATGCTATTTCTTGGGGAATAGTCCACACGACCACCAAAGAACCGACTCCGACAATCATAGAGCCAACACCCCAAAACCAGTTCAGGCCCCTAATCAACGTTCTGAAATGTTTACTGACTTTATATCTATGTAGTATTCTTTTTCTATACGTCTTCCCCGCGCCGCCATCAACTGCCACGACATCTTCTATGAATGTCAATAGCACAGGTGGTATCGGCGCTCCCTTCGGGGTCGAGCTGACCTTGCACGTGGTGGGCATATTCATGACTTCCATCCAACCTGTAGCGAGAGCGAGAGAGCCCACCTCGATGAAGAACAAGGGCAACGGCATAGCCAACGGGCGGACTAACGGCTCATGGGGAATGGATGCGCCGATTAGAATTCCCGTCATAACCGTATAGCCTATAGATAGCGTCGTGTGTGTGAAGTCAAAGCGCCAGCGCTTGCCATCTAGCGGCCGGTACGTATCATCTTTTAGGATCAGTCGCCATGAACGATGGGCGAACTCAAGACCCGAGACGATGCCAAAGAACGAAGTAATAATTGCGAAAACTAGTTGGACGTGTAAGCTCGTTACTATGTCCCATTCATAGAAGCGCTGGGTAGAAATATAGGGAAAATAAGGCAGCTGAGTAGAGGATACTTACGAATACCATGTCTCAGCGTCGTATAGTACCATAGCGGATAGAACAGAACAATCGGCAAGATGCTTCCTTCAAGGACTAAAAGCCCTCCAACTAAGAAGAGCTTCTTCTTGTGCTCTAAGATCTGATAGTTAAGTCGCGGTAGGCCGGGCAGCTCCTCGCTTTGATCCTTGCTCGCGGTCGCAGACGAAGCGGATGAATCCGGAGGCTCGTCCGGACCGGACAACGCTGGAGGCGGGTCTAAATCAACATTCCCGGTTTCCAAGTCATTGCTAGCCATATTACGACTCATCAGTTACCGAAATCCGGAGAAGCGACAATAGGGGTTGGTTGTTAGGTTATTAGGTTCTTATGTCTGTAGCCGAACTGACACAACCATTTGATCATTTACTAGTGAATAGAGTCCCATTTCTGGAGAATTTTGAATTGCAGCATGATGTTGATGGGGTTGGGGTGTAGACATTGTATTATCGATCGATCTCAAAAAAACGATATTAAGACTGACGAAAGCCCAGAGGTCAGCGATGACGTTGTTGATTCTGAGCCTCTGGGCAGGGATAATCCTTCAGGACCTTTGAACTGACCAGTCCTAAAGATAAACTCCGACTGGGCTTGGCTGCAACCCGGTACGAAGTATAATATGCATAATTAGGAATATATACATGCAATTAAGGAGAAGATCTAAAGGTATAGATGTGCAACAAAAGCATCTATTGGCTTACGGGTTTACCCCTGTACTGCATGAGTAGCGCTAGGTTAGGTAGGTACATAGCCAAGGTAGCCTTAAAACCCTAGCGCTGCCCCACACCTAAAGCTACGGGATGACGTCTTTAGACCCTTAGGATTTGGCCCGTTACGACCGATTTCAAGATATCTTGTCTTGGATCTGACATTGCACACCTTCATGATTTCATGCATCGATTTGGTGGCCATTCAAATGCTCGTTTTAATTTATCACATTTTATAGGGTTATTCTATATAGTTACAATAGACAATAGATATGGTTTGTTATATTACGAGAATTAGTACCTTGCAGGCAGTCTTCGCGTACAATAATGAATGACGATTCATTACAGTAGGGTATCTAGGTAGGTAGCTTAGTAACCTAGAGTTAAGCATCGTTCGTCAATAATATTGATAGTATACTTGCCCATCAGCTTCTTAATGGCTCGTTGAAACCAGGTGGTATGTAAAATCTCGAGACAATCCGCTTCTTCAGCCTGTGCTGCTCCCATCCTTAGGTTTAGGCTGCAGTAAAGGGGGTAGTTTTAAGGGAAGACCAAGGATCGAATGCGCCTGATCCTCTTCAAATATGTTCTTGAGCTTGCGACAGCATTCACCATATAGCTTCTCCGATTTCTCTGGGGGTTTCATTGGGTTTGGTCCTTTATCCCATCCATGTGCTACGCCGGGTATCATAGTGTAAAAGACGTTCTTCGAGATGGGCGGCTTCTGCAGCCGCTGAGCAAACTCTTCGCCTTCGTGTAGCAGCATGTCCCATTCGCACGTATAGAATATTACATTATGAGGCAGGCCTTCGATAAGCATCTCGTCCGACGCTTTCGAGGGTGATAGACATGGATCAGCAAGGTCTAATTCGGGAGGAAATAGATACGACGCGTCAAATAGATTTGTCAAGGTCGGCGGGAGAGTGGCTTCGGGACGGAGTGCAGACGCTCGGCGTTCGGCACGAGTCAGTGTATAGTCGGTGATTGGATACCAGGTTGCGACAGCGAGAATACGATACTCGGGAAGTTCTATAGTTTTTCCATGTTCGAACAAACGGATCGGCGCCGTGAGGGCGATGTTGCCGCCTGCTGAAAACCCCGATGTTGCTATCCTATTGCTATCGAGTCGAAGCTTCGCTGCATTATTGATGATATATAATAATGCGTCTGCTCCGTCATCAACGGCGGTAGGGAATGGGAATTCTGGCGCTAATCGGTATTCTACTGAGACGAAAACCGCATGACATTTCTCGAGTACGAAGCGAGCGAATCTTGCGTCGTCCGATGCGCTACCCAACGTGAACCCTCCTCCATGATAATTTACAACGACTGGCCATTTGTCGCTCTTTGGATCCTTGTTGTAACCTTCGGGTAGATAGAATTGGAGATTAAATTGGCCTTTCGTGGTTGATATGGTAGAAGGAATAGACTTGACGAAGTCTGGACTCGGTGGTCGCGGAGAGGCGAGGAAGTGTAAACTCATTCCAATGCATTGTAAAGACCTCCACCAGCCGGCGGTAACCCGGAGAGAGAAGCGTGAGGGCGGAGCTCCTGTCTTATCCTTTGCTTTGCGCGGTTTCTTATTGGGAGGCAACGGAACTTCAGGCAACTTTTCTTCCCGATTATTGATCGAGGGAACGGGTATCCCTTCAACCGTTTGCATTTTGGAGGGTATAGAATAGGCCGTGTAAGAGTCAAGTATCTAACCTAGTAATATGTCTCTAACAATATTTCAAGATTTATTTAATTATATGCTTGTCATACGAAGAAGAATGCAGTAAAGGTAAGGTAAGGTAGATAGTTAGACAGGGGTCGACGGTAATTCAAATCTGATACGATATCGAATTTAGGTGCGATGGTAGAAGTCTTCAGCTACAAGTTAGCTAAAACAATATAACTATCGGGATTTGCATAAACGAATAAACAAACGAATAAATAATTCATGATACAGTAACAGTATTTCGGAATGCACCGTCTTGCCAATATGACGTTTGCTGCTTGGGGCCTTGACCCTTGACTCTTGACCCTTGCCCGGACCTTAGTAGGTACCTACCTAATGTACCTGATCTGTCAGTGTATTTAATCTGTGGCACGTATGTGGCAAGTCTGCAAATACATAGTAGACGCCACGAGACGGGCAATTCTACCTCGGCATGACTTTTAACCAGAAGTTTCTGTTAAATGGACAAGATCGAATTGTCGAATCCGAATATTTGGTGTCATGATATCATAGATCCATAAGAGCACCGTGAACTTAGATCACTAATGGCGCCTTTGCTGGCACCAACCCCTGCACTAATGCGCCTACAAATAGCAAAATCGCCAAATAGGGATAGATGTAGAGGGTGACACGAAATTTAATTGGCTATGTAGGACCGGTCTATTTCCTCCGGGTGGAGACTCCGAGGTAGTTGATTTCGTCACAGATACAAAGTCGGGCATAGGCAAAGTTGGGAATTTCATGTGTATTTTCAGCAACGTCCATAGCGGCAAAAAATATTAAAAAAAAAAAAAAAAACATTACCATAACATGCCCGTACCTTAATTCACATGGCCATCCATGCCAAATTCTAGATAGCAACCCCTAGAAGAATCTATCAGAATCTACCAAGTAGCCTAGGCCAGAGGTCAGCAGCAATAGACCGTCTAACTATCAACCAGGTTTCTGCCAAGAATTTTGTTATATACTTGCCAGAGACCATTGCTTCTCAAGTAGCACACCCAACAGATTCCCCGTTGGCTCTAACAATCTACTGTGTACTACCGACCTCGTCATATATTCTTTTCTTCTCCAAGTGCTGTCTTATAGGCAGTGCTACTTCTCTTCTCCACGACAACCAGTCCCATACCCTCGTCAAGAAACTTCCCCACAGAGATACCCAACCGTAATAACGATATGCCTTCAATTAGGATGAAAAACCCTCTTCTCCTACTGAATAGGGTTATTGGGCATTCGTCGGCCAAGAATCACATCACTAAAATCCATCTCGGTGACACAGATGCATTAAATGAAGAAGCGGATAAGAAGCACTTAAGAGCCTTGTACGAGAAACGAGCCAAGAAAGAGTTACAAGAAGAAAATCGGCGATCACTACAACAAAAGCGTAAGGAGGAAGAGCTGGCGGCATTGTCTAGTGAGCCACCAGAGTTACAATCAAGCTATGGCACACTCACCGAAGAGGGCATGCCGCCTTCTTTTCTACTCGAGAACTTGTCAACCGACCATATTGGGCAGACTATCAGCTTCAATGCCCGCCTTCACCATGTGCGATCCGTAAGTGCGAAATTGGCTTTCATATTACTACGCCAACAGGCCGATACCGTTCAAGGTGTTCTACAAGTTCGAGAAGGAGTTGTGTCCGAGAAGTTCGTACGATGGGCCGAGCATCTTAATACCGAGTCTGTAGTACACGTTCGAGGTACTGTACGCGAACCACCGGAGCAGATTAAAACCTGCAGTGTACATAATCTCGAGATCCTCGTCGATAGCATGCACGTAGTTGTGCCAGTCGAGGATCCTATACCCATTGATGTCTACAACATGGAGCAGGTGGAGGAAGATGACAACAGCCACGAGAAGCAGTTGGCAGTCTCAAATCGTGTCCGCGTTGCAAACCGACTAGTTTTCCTCCGTACACCAGTGATGCAGAGCGTCTTTCGCATCCGATCAGGCATTTGCAATATATTCCGATCTTCTCTAGAGGAACAAGGGTTCATTGAGATCCAAACCCCTAAACTTCAACCAGCCGCGACTGAGTCTGGTGCGGAAGTCTTCAGGGTTAACTACTTTGGAAGAACCGCATTCTTGGCGCAGAGTCCGCAATTGGCGAAACAGGCGGCAATTTCCGCTGATTTTGGCCGTGTCTTCGAGATTGGGCCTGTTTTTCGAGCTGAAGATAGCAATACCCACCGACATCTGACAGAGTATACCGGTTTAGATTTGGAAATGACCATTCAAAAGGACTATCACGAAGCGATGGATGTAATTGATGAGATGTTGAAGGCTATCTTCAAAGGTGTTTACTCACGGTATCGCAAAGAGCTTGAGAATATCAAGACGAGGTTTCCCCATGAGGATCTAGTCTGGCTGGACCAGACACCTCGTCTTCCATTCAAAGAGGGTGTCCAATTACTAAATTCGGCTGGGTGGACGGATGATGATGGAAAGCCAGCTTCTGAGAACGAGGATCTCGGAACTCGTGCAGAGATCCGACTTGGTCAGTTGGTCAAGGAGAAATATGGAACTGACTACTTCATTCTCGACAAATTTCCAGCATCGGCACGGCCATTCTATACGCATTTGGACCCGAACGACGAGACAGTAACCAACTCGTTCGACATATTCCTTCGTGGTCAAGAAATTACAACAGGAGGTCAAAGAATCAACAACCCAAGAATCTTAGCTGAGAGGATGAAAAAAGCCGGAGTAGATCCAGAGGGGATGGAAGAATACATGCAGGCCTTCGAATGGGGTGCGCCACCGCACGCGGGGTGTGGTATCGGTCTCGAGCGCGTATTATTCTTGTTGTTGAATCTGGGAGACGTCCGGAACGCCACCTTATTCCCAAGAGATCCGAAATCCCTTCCTGCGAAGAGACATGATCAAAACGGCAAGGTCCCGTTCCCTGAGGCCGATACCATCCGATACGCATTCGAAGGAGAGCACGACCACGTCCATCTACCTGATTTGGACAAGCTTATCGTCAACTATGGTGATGCCACGAACACTTCCTGGCTTGACGAAAGATACAAGGTCTGGCGGGATTTAGATACCGGAGCAGCTGTTGGGTACGCCGAAGAGAACGGATACGCAATGATAATGGGTAACCCACTTTGCGATTCGCGTCAGTATCCTATCGTCATTAGCTCTTTTCTCAAATACTTGAAGAAAAGCGAGGATCTACGGCCTATCTGGATCCTGGTCTCCGCACAGGTCGAAGAGATCCTTGGCGCGAAGCTCGGATGGAGGACACTAACATGTGTGGCCGAAGAGCGCGTGGATATGGAAAATGTAGGCAAGGTGGCCAAGAAGGAGCGCCAGGCCCAGAAAGCTGAGATTAAGATACACGAAACAACACTCGGTCAGCCGGTCCCTGACGACGTAAGGGAAAAGTGCGACAAGCGCATTGTCGATTGGAAGGAGAGCCGTAAAGGCCGAAAGCAGGTCCATATTACCGAAGTCCAACCTTGGATATCGATGGCGCACCGGCGCTATGTGTGGGCCGAAGACAAGACTGGCGAAATCGTCGGCCTTGTCATCTTGCATCGCCTCTCCCCCGAGCACGGATACCAAATCAAGTTTGCGCTTGACTTCCCCGGCTCGCCATCCGGCAGCATCGAGGCGCTCATCTCCCACGCCATCCAAAGTTTAACAGCCACAGGGGTTAGCAGTGTCACTTTCGGTGCTGGTGCCATGGATGAGCTTCTCATCGGGAGCAACCTGAACGGCATCAAAGCCAAGCTCCTGAGCCGTACATATAAGACAGTCGCGCAGCAACTAAAACTAGTGGCGAAGAGCGAATTCAGAGAAAAGTTCGGCGTGAAGCACGACCCGGTTTACATCTGTTACCCATTCATGGGCCTGGGAGTTTCCGGCGCTAGGACACTGATTAAGTTCTTCGAGGACGAGATGTAAAGGCGATGATAGTTTGCAATCGCGAGATTTAGGTACTTTTGCTGCTTTTCTTTGTTATTATGACATGGCACGGCTTGGCGCGGAGACATTTTCAATTCGGTACCAGGGTAGATGATCTGGATGCACTTCATGAGTATTTTCTTAATGATGGTAGATACCCACCGTGGACAATATATTGGGCGGCTTAATGATAGAAAAGAAGTATAATAAAGAAGACCCATAATTCAATGACTCGAAAGTTAATCATTGCCATGACTTCTGTTTTAATGAGGGCTATAACACCTCAACGAGACGGTGAAGATGTCGTACGGAGATGGACAGGTCTATAGCGTGGCCTAAGTGGAGATTCTTCGAAACAGAAGTCGACTTATTAGAGAGATCTTAAGCTGCTACATGGTTGTTTTTCTTGCGCTTAGCTCTGGTGGCTTCGCCCTTCAATTCCGTATAAGTGGTGTACAAGTTTAGCCTACACCGAAGCCAGGGTCCGCTCAATGCATGAGATTCACCCCGGCCGTTCTACCCAATCCTGACAGCGGCACCGTCCTAACATGCCATGGCGGCGGGTTAATCCCCGCGTCTCTTTAATAGGGGCCGGGAAATTTATAAGCGAAGGAGTAACTGCTCGGCGTATCGGGTTAAGTACCTACCTAACATGAACTACCCAATATCCCCTATGTTGTAAGTAGGTATTCTCAAGGTGATCTTCTCAAGTAGTGAGATACTAGGTCGTTTGCAGCTATGAGCGTCCTCAGATTTGTAACTATAGCCTGCCTGGCTACCCTCATTCCGAACGTCTCGGCACTCCTCGCGTTTCCTGGGGCTGAAGGGTTTGGTCGAAACGCGGTTGGTGGTAGAACGGGATCGGTATATCATGTCACAAACTTGAAGTAAGTGATTGCGCATATCTACCTTGAATTCAGTATTCTCATACAAGGTGATTAGCGACTCTGGGGAAGGATCCTTCCGCGATGCCGTGTCGAAGTCAAATCGCATTGTCGTCTTCGACGTTGGCGGAACTATTAATATCACTGAGCGGGTTGTGGTTTCGAAAAATATTTATATTGCTGGCCAGACAGCCCTAGGCAATGTAAGTTCTCGAAATATCCATCCGCTAAAGATATATAGAGTATATTCCATCCCGTATACTAATGGTTCTGTAAGGGAATTACGATCTATGGCAATGGCATATCGTTCTCCAATGCTAACGACGCCATCGTGCGTTATATCCGATTCCGCATGGGCAAAAGCGGTGATTCTGGCAAAGGTGCTCTTCCGCCCCATAAGGATAGTTCAGAATCAAGCCATTGACTAAAACTCATCAATAGACGGGATTACTATTGCTGATGGTAGCAACATGATCTTCGACCATGTGTCAGTCACCTGGGGTCGGGACGAGACCTTTTCTATCAACGGAGCTGTGCACAACGTAACGGTACAGAACACGATCATCGGCCAGGGCCTAGAAACCCACTCGTGCGGTGGACTGATGCAGTCGGACTTTGGTATTAGTCTCTTCAGAAACCTGTACATCGACAACAAGACGAGAAACCCTAAGGTCAAGGGCATAAACGACTTTCAGAACAACGTGAGCTTCACCAAGTGTGCCATTGGGTGCTCGATAGACATACCAGTTACTAAACAACTCACCAGGTCATTTACAACTGGGGAGGAGGTGGTGCTTACATCGCTGGCGACAGTGGCGGTCAGAGCTATGCCAACATCATCAACAACTATTTTATCTCCGGGCCCAGCACGAGCGTATCCGCATTCACGCGAGGAAACGCCAATTTCCACAGCTGTAAGTGTAGTAGCCGATGTCATGCTTCCAAGTAAATGCTCACCTTGTTAGACGTATTGGAGAATTACTACGACAGCAATAAAGACGGGACGCTCAATGGGTCTCCCCTCTGCGTCGAGACCAGCTGTTACAGCGACATGGATATCCAAAAGACGCAGTTTGACTATCCAGGGCCGGGACGTCTGATGGCAGCGCCCGATGCCCTAACCTACGTCCTCGGCAACGTCGGTGCTAATTTCCCTGGGCGCGATGGGATCGACAAAGGTCTCGTGGCGGAAGTGCAGAGCTTTGGCAAAAAGGGCGAGCTGATCAGCGCTGAGGACGCGGGCTCTCTGGATAACTCGGAAGGAAACGCGCCGACGGACACGGACGGAGACGGGATTCCGGACGCGTACGAGGACGCACATGGGTTGAATTCTCGAGATGCAAGCGACGCGATGAAGATTAGTAGTTCTGGGTATGCGAACATTGAAGTGTATCTTAACTCTCTCATCCCCTCTTCATAAAGGGCAAAAAAAAGAGCAACATGTCAATTAGAAATTTGAAGTAGCAATTTTCATATGACAGGAATCTTGACGAAAGCCATTGAAGTTTATAGCCATGAACCCGAGGCCATTGTTGCATCGATATTTTCCTAGGTGAGGTCACTCCATGAATTGAGAATTTATCACTAGAACTCATATCCTTCGTGTATTTCAATCTCTCATGCAGCCGAGAAAACAATTAACTACATTTCAATCGATTGCTTCATTATTGATTACCTAAGGTACATATTTGAGTACCTCATTAAAAAAAAGTTAGGTACGCACGAGCCATATCTGCCATTTCACTATTCCTGATTTGGCAAAGAACGAACATTTCCCCGCACATTTTGCGGTGAAATATAAGTCATTGTAAAATCCATCGACATCACAGCAACTTTCCCTCGGAAGGAAGCCCACTTCCTTCCGTGTACTTGCAAAAACACGCCCCCCCTTGGTGGTGTAGTTGGTTATCGCGTTCGGCTGTAATTGATAAATTGTTACCGAAATGTCGCCGGTTCGATTCCGGCCCGAGGGATCATAATTTTTTGCCTTTTCTTCTTACTGTTTGTTACTTTTTTCACTTCCCCTCATCATCTGGTCTGTATTTATGTTACAAGGAGATATCCTAAGCCATTTATTTCTATTCTTTCCTTGAACTATTCACTTGGGTATTGACAATTTTTCTAGAACACGTATATAATAGGCAAATATTTCATACATGGGAGGAAATTCTAGAGTTCCAAGTAGTATAACTGAGACAATGCGAAAGCAGCAAGGCTTTGTTCGGTAAAGACTGAAAGCACAGCATCGGGAAATTGGATAGGGAACCAACACAAGTAGACGATATTCCTAATAGACGACATGGTACTGCTAATAACTACTACGATCTTTTATGAGCCTTCATTACTTCACGGATTGGTATCAATTTCTAGTGATATAGAGGCTTGAGACTGAAAATGGTATTAAGCGACTGTCCTAAAAGTGCATCCCACTCGTCCGGCCCAGCCAAGATTATCTTCAAAATTGCTACGAAGTCGTTGGCATTAATTCCAATCTTTGGTATCCATCCAATTCCAACACGCTTTCACACCTTTGTTTTATTGCAGACGTCCTAGTCCCTCAATCTTTACCCAAGGGATCCACCCTAACCCCTATAGACCGAGCCCCATGAATAACCCGAATCTCATTATCATTATCAAGCAAATACCTAGGTTAGAGCCTATACCCTTTAGCAGGCCCATCTCATATATCCAAGCCGTAGATCGCATCAAGACAGATGCTTGGTATAGCCTCATCATTATTCACCTCACGTCCTTCCCTGTGTACTCGAGCTCATCGGACCGTGGTAAGTCGTCAGGTCTTCGGTCTTCTGGCCATTCTTTCGATCATACTTTTCTGTAGGCGAGTTCCCAATGTCTTTGAAAGTCTCTTTAATTCGTTGGCGCATCGACCGCTTTTGCTTGGCATCGCCGTGACTCTTTTCCTTGTCGTACGAATATGTGGTAGACTCTGAGTAAGTTGAGGCCGATGAGGGTTTGACGTCTGACTGTGCTTTTGTTTGTGTTTGTGTTTTCGAAGGTTGGAAATGGGCTGACTGTCTCTTGTTGTCTTGGTGATGTGGCCAGATGAGTTCTGGGTTCGTCATCGCCAAAGACATCGAGACAGCTGCCGCTGATGTTCGGTAGCAATCTTGGCACATTGTAAGGATGCAAGGTTTTTTCGCTGCAGGCTTATAATGCAGGCAATGGGATAGTTGGTATTGAAGTCTTCTATGATCTATTGAATAGCTGTTAAACTGTTTCCTGATAGTATAAGGATGATAGTAATATTGATGAAGGATAAATACACCAACTAGCCTTAGAAGAAATGCATCGATTTTATAAGAGGGTTCACTATGCCGATGTGACTAATACGCAACTGCTATAGACAGAACGGGGGCTAGTGACGACGCAGCTTAGGCTTGATCATGCAGGCAGACTACTACGAGGCTACACAAACGATTCACGTTCATCTGGTTGGTCAGAAACAGTTCGTCTTAGCGATGCTTGGCAACAAGCAACAGGTAATAATACGCTTATACGCCCATCAGACGTAAGCTACCATCGAACAAGCCACAAATGCAGGATGGGAAGATGACTCTTACGGTGTAATGCTACCTAGATAGGTACATTTCATAGTTGCCTTATGCTTAGCTATAGTAACACTCCGGCCTGATTATTGGGTAACAGTTCTATCACGTTGATATCATAGGCGTATCAAGCAAACAAAGGCTACGAATCTCTCTTTGTATTGACGCGTCCAATCATTAGGCTGCCAAATAATTATTGTTAAGTCCCAATTGAACCATCATCAGATCCTGGGCACCCGATCTAAATCCTTGCTTAGTATGTCCTGCGAGATCGGATTCATTTTTTGGCTTTTCTTCCCGGTGACTCATGCTAATATACGCATGCAAGTATCAGCCAGACACGCTATACCCCGGCCCGCTGCCGGCACCAACCGAGAATTAAATGGGTCTCCGGAGCACCGTCTCTTAACTACCTATCTATATCACTAATCTGATGCGTGAAAGCGTGTCGTCTGGAACTCCCTCATCTTAGTTACCTCAGCTTGTAATATTTGTATACCGGTTTCTATTTGCGGTGAATATTCACAACTTGACTCATAGCCTTTAGTTGTTACATGTAACACAGAGCATCAGCAGGTAAGGCGTTTTTGTTTGTAATCATATGATGACACATCGAAGACAAGTCAACCGGACGACATATCAAATAGTACCTAATGTCATGAATACTGCGATAATATAAAAGACATAAAGTGTGCATGGGGCTTTAGATCGGAGGGGTAGTTCAATTAGGTGCTCAATACTCTAATCAAAATGTCTCCTTGGAATCACACGCTATCCTAAATCGGTTGTTATGCATTTTTAATTCAATGTTGGAGCAGATTATCCCTATACTTATCAATTTAGTAGGGATTGCCCTTACGTTGTTTCTATTTATACAAAGTCTATTATAGTAAAGATCTCACTAACTAGTCAAATCAACCAACCCCTGGGCTTTATCCACCAATATACATACATACATTGCACCGTATCCGCCCCACCTAGGTATTTACCGGTAAACATGAATGAGCCCCGGATCCCCATGAGCCTCTATATAAACATCAACAAAATATCGTAGCCAGACATACATAGTACATTTCACTGTACGCAATTCTTACAGGGAAGAAATGAATTCATCGCATCGACATCTGCTCCGGGCTTGCTATGCATGGTAGAAATCGAGGGAGTCTAACATGTAAGGCCTAACATGTCTGCTTCCTCAAAGTCAGTTGGCAAACACAATACACCAATAACCTTGTGTACCAGCCTGTCCAAATCAAAGAAAACGCTGGGCCCTCACTCCCATACGCCAACCCTTATATACTGACGTACCAAGACCAAATCTAATCCCAGCTCTGATGCTCGTCTTTATCCTAATCCCGACCCTTCTATTCTTGGTTTTCCTCATCCTGATCTCTATCATCGCTATCGTCAATATCCGCGGTGATCAAACGCTTAGCAGCCTGTTGTACCGTCTTAGTTCTGTTGTCCGGGGACTCATGCAGTTCATTAAACCGCTCAACCAGCACTGACAGCAGACTACACATAGCATCTTCGTTGCCGTACTCAAACCTATGGAGTTCGGTCATTCCGACACTAGCGATATCAATGGTCATAGATACCCATTCGCTGCCTCCCATGAAGTGAGCCCATGCATACCATGATCCATGTCGGAGAACGCATTCCTCGAAGACGGTAATACGCTCGTCAAAAACAGGATCTGAGAGGATCCAATCTTCGCGGGACTTGACAAAGCATGATCCCATCATATTTATCAGATAGTAAATCATGATACAATCCTGTTTGGATAAGTTGCGGATATATTCCTTTTGCGCAGGACGTGCGGGATAGTTCGTGTACGGATCTTTCTCACGAAAGCCCTGTTCTAGCTCACGCCCACCCCACCATTTCATGAATTGGTGCCCATACCATTGTGCCTCAGGCGTTCCGCAAGGTACATTGGCTGCGATATCTGCAATATAGTCGCATTGTGCAAATGCACGGTACAGGAATGCACATAGGCGTTCTTGCTGAGGATTGGTGAGTTCTCCTAGGCCCGGTGGTGACCCAATATTGAAGTGGGGAGAGGCAGTGAGAATCTCTTTGACTCGGGATCTTCGATTCTCCAACTCTAGAAGCATTTGAAAGCTTCCATGCTTAATTGGGCGTCGAAGATATAGCTCTGAAGAGAGCACATCACCAGGAGGCGGAACAGGGAATTCTGCCAGACGTAATTGCGATAATGAACGCTGATACGTCTTGAGGAGCATGTTGTTCTCCTGTATTATGGATTAGTTGGTTGTTGAGATATAAACGATTTAGATTTACAAGGAGGTCGGAAAGATACTTACCCTGCTTGTCTCGCAAAGCTTGAATAGAGACTTGGCGTCTAAATTCTGCGCGATCTCAAGGATCAGATCCCGTGAGAAACTAGCCATGTTGGAATGGTGAATGATCTGCGCCAGGAGAAGACAAGAGCTCTGTATACAAGGTAACGGAGGCGACGCTGTAAAGGCTAACTGCTCGAGGAATGAATGGAAATAGTAATATGTGTGCTAAAGTTGCAAGAAAAGTACTATTTTCCAAACCATAACTTGATGTTAATGATTGTCAGTGATTGTCAACGACTTTCAAGGTTATGTGATGGTATCGTTGATATTTGATATGAATGAGTCTGTTCCTTTATGTGCGGCGCTGAACACCCGGACACCTTGATGGGCAAGCTATTTTTGCAATTAACTCTTCTGACGTACCTGACCAAAGAAATAGCCATCAAGGTTTGCATTGAGTCGGTTGCTACTGCCATTGTCCTATATATCCGTCTCTAAGACCGTAACCCTCGTGAAAAAGTCACTTAGTCACTCACGAACGGGTTGAGATGGGATGGCTACAACTGTACCTACCTATGTAGGTATGTACGGCTGTGATGTACGTCTATATGCTTAGTCATGTGGGGTTCGTCCTTTCCTTTCATCCCCAAACCGCATGGTCATAGCTGCCCTCTTTAGCTCCGTATAGGCGGGTAGTCTAGAAATTGCCAATAATCTGGTGGAAAGAGCCAGGTACTGACCGAAGTTCAAATGACTACCAGGTACCTATACATATGCAGGTACATACCTCATATACGTAACTTCCATAGGTACATAAGGTACATAAGGTGATGTAAGGTACCTCCCAAGTCACCAATTTTGCTTGCAATGTTGGTCAAGTGCTTCGTTTAGCAGGAGACTTATTTAGCCACTTGACCACCAAACATTCGACCTCCGAGGTTGTCGGAAATCCGAAGCTCTATACTTGGTATTGTCGTGAAGTCAGCTTATAATAAATGTATTGTTTGTGTTGGTATAGTAAGATCTTGATGTGATCGCTATGCTTACTAGCATAATATTCATCCACGGCTATTGATCGATAGTTGCTACCACAGCCAAGAACATATCACTGGTGGTGTTCTGTCCAATAAGCTTCGATATGTTATGAAATCAATAGCTATGCGGCACTAGAATATTCAACTGCGCAGAGCTATTACGGGCCCAGCCTTATTGTCCGTCCTGTAGCATCATGAAGTTGTACAAGTCCTCCCGACCCCCGGAAACCAACGCAGCATGCCGAACATAACAGGGGTAGAAAACAACAGATCAGAGACCATACAATATGTGTCGATAGTTGCTAGTGATTCCATCTTTATATTGAACGGAATAATATAAGAAGGTCGGGGTTGTATTGACAAGAGATGGATGAAGCTTTGTACATAGAGGGGGAACTTTACCCCAGATCTGCTTTTGTTGCGTGGTGATGTACCGGTAAGATTTTGCTGTGCCAGACCTAACCGACCTACCTACATGTACAATACATATATACACCTACCTAAAAACCTAGGAGGCAGACTAACCCCTTTCCTCTTGCAGATGAGGCTAAGCTCGTAGTAGAAGTTTTTCCCGATTTTCAGAAACAGGTTAGTCCATTTTTAGTAATTAGCTTCGCAATCGATTGTATTTCTTTTCTTTTAGCATATTTCTCAAATCACAAAAGTGCCGATCTAACCAGGATGGCGGGGTCTAGACATGGTAAACTCGTATGTACATACGTACATGAAGTACAGGGGTTAGTACAGTCCAGGCGTCCAGGCCGCCCGAGGCAAGTTTAAGTGTTTAAAGTTTGAACCAAAGCCAAAAACTACACTTCGTCATTCCTTGCAGCTTGCAGACTTGCAGTTTGCAGCATCGCCATCTCATGTTTCAACCACCTGAGTCCATTCATTGATTTTCAACCCACCGTTTCATTCGCACATCATTGGTACCAGTAGCCTACGCGGCTACATCTTGTTGCTTTGGCCCTCAATTATCAGTTCTCCAGTTCTCCTTGCAATTGGACTAATTTAATAGCGTGTTGCGCCGAGGGTCGCATTTAGCCGCCTCCATTCGAGAAAAATCTCTTGTCGACGTCCGGTCTTTGCCAGATTTCCATTTCAGCCTTGCCAATCTTCAGAATATCCCTCGGTCTCCAAGTTTGCAACTCGTTTCGAAAGTTCCCTCTATACGTCATAATTCCAACCGTTTTGTTCCCGTTCTACATACCAAATTTTGTTCAAGTCGCCTGTTAATCGAGATTTTGGTGCGGGTACTAACGGCGACGCCATTCAAACAATATAGAGGCATGTTTGCGCCGGTCGTCCGATAAACCCTTATACGTATCGTAACAAACACCAGGGTGCAATTTCTTTCGTTCGGACATCTAATCGTGCACGTATTTCTCAATCCGAGGAAAAATAACCGGTCGAATTTCTCCAAGTAGCCTCGCACCCGTCAATTTTACGATGCCTTCAGCTAGAAGAGTACGCCTCCTCATGATGGTAGTGCTCGCCGCTGTCATCACCACCTTATTCTTCACATCCCAGATGCGGTCGGCAATTCCCCACGACAACCGGACAGTACATGATTTCTTTGGCAAGACTATGAATGGCTTAGGACCTCAAAAAGGTTCTGGACAAGTTGTGATGAGTGGCAAAGGAACGACCGTTGATTCTACAGTAAAAGACAAGGATGGGGATGGATCTGTCGACGAAGACGACGAGCAGTTGGCAAAGGAGATGGCCGATCGGTTACGTGCTGCCGAGCAGAAGGCCAAGGACTTGGCTAATGCTAAGGCGCCACTAAAGCCAGATGCTCCGAGTGAGGTCGTTGGTATAGGGAGTTCGGCTGGAGGGCAGAAGAAAGGCGCTTCCCAGGGGAACTCAAAGGAGACAGACGAGGAGAGCAAAGAGTCAGGGGAAGATCGCGAGGTCGAAGCGACTCTTAATAATTTACTCAAGAAATCATCTGGTAAGATCAGCGCGTCGTTTGCCGCACTTATCTTATTACTTACTTCCACTTAGTTGTTATTTTCTCGAAAACGTTCTGCCCGTATTCTAAAAGGGCAAAGGGTGTCCTTCTCGAGAAATATTCTATCGACCCCGCCCCTTACGTTGTCGAACTAGACGAGCATCCCTTAGGCAAGCAACTACAAGCAAAATTAGGTATTAAGACGGGACGTAAGACAGTGCCCAATATCATGATCAATGGCAAGAGTGTTGGGGGTAGCGACGAAATTGCCGAGCTAGACTCGAGAAAGACCCTCATTGATAAGTTTAAGTCTATGGGAGGGAAACAGTTATCCATGAAGGAGCGATTCGTCGGGAACGCCAAAGAGAAGCAGAGGTAACGACAGGCACATGCGGACACCTAAACAACAGTTTCTTCTCGGGATATCTTGGGGGTCACATGAATACGGAACGCGGTAATACGGACAAACCGTTGTCATCTGCATGTATGGCGTTGGGGTTTCTTTTACTAAGTACTATTGTGTTGGGCAATTGGGTCCGGCACGGTATAAGACCAAGGCGTGGTCTTCGGCTTTTGCGTTCTAGACTTACAGCTCTAGGACATTTCCCAGTGTATGATAATGTGCTGAAGCACGTACATCTTGTGCCTGTATGAACATATATAGGTACCTACCTACGTATCCGGATAGGGCCTTCGAGCCGGCTTTTGAGGATTATTTATGGGGTAGTCTTCATACGAACCAGTAAGCCCAGGGTTTTAAGCAAATATTCAGCTTGCGAAGAATGGCGTTGGAGATTAATAGCAACTGATGACGCAAAGATTGAGATGCGATTCTTCTTTAGTTGACCGTAGTCCTCGCAATCGTAAATAGATCGTGATTGTAAGAGTGGTATTGTAGACATGTCATATTTCCTATTCTTCCAATTCAAGCATGAGCCAAACGTGACTATATAATTCGATAAAAATGGCTTAATATTCATTAGTTGTAATCAATTAATTTAGATACTATTGTCAACTCCGTTTTTGGGAAGATGGCTTCGTGTTCGACCAAGAAAATTCCGCCACTCCTAACCTTGATCCATTCCAGTCTTACATCTTGAACGAGAGGCCATGGTGTGAAAATGGTGCAAGACCATATTTCAACGTCTATAGCGACTCCACGTGTTTTGACTTAACCACGTCAAATGAGCCCGGACCTTTTGGTGATGAAAATGCACAACCTCGCTGCATAGCACCAGGGAATTTCAAGGGCATGGCCTTTATTTGTGATGGGCTTGACGGGATCGAGGGCACTGCGGATGATACACCGACAGCTAAGACACTAATAGATGGCCCTACATCTGCTCCTATTCCGAGTAACACACCAATATCAAAAATTGCATCTACACAAACACCTTCCACTTCCTCCAGTCCAGCATCTTTTAATAGTATCCCAACATCGAATCCAACAGCGACGGATAAAAGCCCTTCCAGTTCTTCCAACACCTCCGGTAGCACATCAGCAGCAGCACCAATTCAAACAAATGCAGCAAAAGCGATAACAAATAAGGGGTCGGTTGTACATGTCGTTCTGTTGATGTCGGTTCTTAGAACTATATTGTAGAGAAATTTCCGGTCCGATATATAAATTGGACGATTAATACATTCTCCTTTCTCCTGTATCCTATGTAAAGGTCCTAAATAAGCCTTGAATCGAGTCAGTTTGATTAGTGATTCCAAAGATTAGCCTACCAACTATCAAAGTCCCCATACTTTTCCAACATACACATATCCTTCCTTCTTGTTAAAGCGAGGTGACCATCTTTATCGCCTTGCAATTATTCCCAACCCCAGTCCCCCCTTCAAGTTCCTTACAAGTCGTAAGCTGAAAGCGATATGACTTGGAGGCGACCTTGCCAGAAATATCAATACAAGACGGGGCGCTACGGGATATTTCAGTGCAGTCTTGCTGGCATCCGCAATCGTTGTCTGGCGAATGCACTAGATAAGTGCCGAGAAAGTCGGATCCATGAAACTTGAGCGATTGGCGGCCGCCTTCTCCCGTTAAGCAACCTGGATCGTTCACATCGACGGAGACGCCACAATTCTTCGTACATGCCGTGTCGTCACAGAACTGTGCCCAAATTTTGCCAACAGCAAGGTGCACGTTGATGGTGCTGTTCAGGAAGATTGCAGCTTTGACAAAGCGAACCATTTTATCAGCAATGATGAGTTACGTATGATATAGAATGTATCACATAGGTAGAAGGCTTGTGATATTTGTAGGGTAACTTTAATAATTATCCTGAGCCTTGTTTAGTGCTGTCATTTATAGATATTTGCTAACTTACGCGTCTTAATACGTACTGCTGTTACAATCAAGAAGACTCGTAACACATAAGACTACCATTCAAACATCATTAAAGCTTGTATATTGTTGTTTGAGTCTAGATCCTTCGTTTGTACCATCCTCATAATATACAAATGCAGTTGAGATCCCCCGCAGAGTATTCGCACGTATACATATAAGAACGATCAACGTCGCAATATTAATAACGTACCAGAAGCTTGATAACACCATATAAGATCGTATGGGCAGACCCTGTGGTCAAGTAAAATACCTGAAGTTGTAGATCGAACGGACCCCTTACATACAAAGGATGAACTAGCACGCACCCGAAGCTCATCGTACGAATAATACCTCTGTTTACATATATTGAGGCTTTGTTAAATGACTCTCTGGCAGATTATATCCGAGTAAATAGTACTGAATCAAGCACCAGCTCGATATTCCTGACCTAAGTAAGGCATCTACTAACCCATCATTTATGTTTTCATGTTCCTATAATTGTGGGACTACTTTCAGGGGCAACTGGAGAAAAAAGACAAACTGATCGAAAGCTTCTTACTTAACGGGACGCTCACATTCAAGATCTAGCACATCACTATCTGGATACGAGACATTGTACCGCGATTCTATAGATAATTTTCTACCCAGCAGACGTAAATCTCTATTGACTTGACGAAGAAGTTGTGCAAGGACCTAGTTACAGAATATAAAAGTATCATGTCCTTGTGTATTCAGAATTCATTTTGTATTTCGAGTTTCTCGTATGCCATATTGAGTAATTTACGGCGCATTCAGATACAAATATACATAATCCTGATAGATCAAGATAAATATTGCTACTAGAGCATTCCTAGGACAGTCTAGGTCGTATATTGTAATATTTTGCTAATGTAGCATGTCTACTTCATCGTCAAACAACTCCTAAGGCTGATACCATTAATTTTCAGGTTGCTTTTAACATATTTCCGGCAATAAGAGAAGCCATATGCCCATCTTATTAGCCAATACTAAACATATTCCGCTCTCTACCCAATCTATATTCAAGCTAGCTACTAACGTACCTACCTAGATAGCTTACTAAATAAAGAATGGTTAATGATTTAGTTCTCGTGATAGCCAGTGTGTTGCTAATGTAGAGCGTTGTTGAGTTAACTAAGATACTTAAGATATGCTAGGTTAGGCATCAACTTGTGTACCTGCTTACTGTCGACCGTACCCTTAAGGGTAGGTACTTTCTAAGGTAAGTGTTTAAATGCAGCAGTGAAAAATAATTCCAGGTACCGTACATATACAGAAAGGATGTAGATGTTGATGTAGTTACTTTAGGTACATGTAGGTAGCTTGCGGGATAGATTAGGGGGTGGTTGGTAGGAACTACTAGGCTACTTGATGTGCTTGATGCAAGATCAGAATATAATATTAGGCTACCACCGTTAGATCAGAATCCATTAAATCAGAACATATTAAATATATTAAAGGCAGTAACTTCCGTAGTAGGTTTTATTTTCAGCAGATCAACGACGGCGGGGGGTTGCTTGAGCACCTGCTTGCCCAAGTATCACCAGTTTCTGCCTGGATACGCAGAAGTTTAACCCCTAGGGAACAACTCTTAGAGATCATTTTACATAGATGAAGCAGCTGCTATAGTTACTACCACAGCAACTAGAATCAGTACCTGCATTTTATTACTGCCGAAGCTGATTCTGTTTCCCTTTTACCGCCCTGCCAATTTCTATTTAATTCTGACGAGTTTCCTCCCCTCCTACCATCTTCCTCTCCCATATTATTTTATTTTATCCTTAACATTCTTCAACCTCTACCTTCACCCTACCTTCTACCTTCTACCATACACCATACACCATACACATACAACACATATCATCCTTCAACTCAAACAACAGTAACTTCAACTAAGGTATGTACTCTTCCTTAACCCTCAATCTATTTTACACTATAGCGCCCATAACTCTATGTCACTTGTCATTATTTGAGTTTCCTATTTTACACTTGCCTTCTGACGTTACATATTGCCCTGTATGGCATCAACCTGCCCTCGGCCAACTCCACTCACACCCTTCAACTTTCCACTGGCCCACAAGTTCTCATATTCCTTCTTGCATTCCAGATAGGTTTAGTACTAATTTTCTATATTTATCCTAGAACTATTCAACGCTTCCTCTTCCTAGAATAGGTTAAGTATCCCCCTTACCCCGTTCTGCTAATGTTGATAGGTATCTCAGTACGCGGGGGGTCCTGTCTTTTGCTATAAAAACTGCTGAGCGGGAGCTGATGCACTGGCGAACTCTCACAGAGCCTGACATTATCCGGGGGTGGCCTGTAGGCAGTCCTTATGGACAACACTAACCCAATGTCGGATGCCTGACAGCCGTTTCTACGGTGAATGTCGGATGGCAAGTCGTGCGTCGCGATATTCCCAGGTTGTCGCAGCGGAACAACTCCTTCGCACGCCGGCCTGATCACCTAAGGGAGCTATCCCGATAGGTTCGAACTCGCTGTGATTTTCCACATCAACAACTGGGCGGGTCGGAGAGTTAGTAGTGCATTGGCTTTCTACCCGTCCTTTATTTTCCCACTTCCCTTCGTGACGCACGGAGGACCTTGGGGGTGTCTCCTTGTGCGGGGGTTACTCTATCCATTGAGCTTAGCATCTCACTCGGATATACCGACCTCAGTACAGTTGCGCCCTTCCAGGAGCCTTTTTTCCACGCCTAGGGGAGATACGTTGTGGGCTCCCCGAAGCCTCCTGCCGGTAACCGATTCGTTCGCGCCGTGCTCTGCGACACGGTATTTCAGGGATTGCCTTGCTTGCGAGGAAGACTGAAAGTGCCGTTAGAAAAAAAATACCCAGGCTCTGTGATCCGCGTCAGATTCAGAGTGCTGGAGCGGTAGGGCCCCCAATATGCGTACTTCACCAGGTACGTCCCCCTTTCTTTTCCCCCTTACTGTTTTGGAATGTGTGCTGCTAATCCCTTGCTGGTACATTGTGCCAGTGAGGGTTCTATATAGGTCGTCTCTAGGAAGTAAGAAGCTGAGCCTTGTTCAATGTCCTTTTTTTTTTTCATTGGTCTTGGTAACGCTCTTCGTCCATGTTCAGCGATCATGAATGCTGAGCATATTCATGGGCTTAATTTTTGATTTACCATATCCCATCAGAGATATATTTTTTTTCATTATGTTCATTACCTTGCGTAGTGCCATGAGGAAGAAACATTGTACCAGAACCTAGCTATCTGAATAACAAAACTAGGCTGTAATGTGATGAATGGTTTATCAGTAACTTTTTGACTTCCGTAACGCCATTAGGCCTCGCATTTCCATGATGTCTTTTCCTCCACCACTTCCGTTCATAACTCCGTAATCATTTCACGGGGGGGCAAGTTTCTCCGCTCAAAACCTAGGATAGAAAATTGGAAAGAAAAGGCAATATATCTAGAAAGATATAATGCCGGGCGAATCAATTTGGAATTTAACTTATACAAAACTACGACACCATGCTTCTCTACCGCAACTCTCTTTCTCCCGCGTAAGCGACCGACTTGTATGTCTCCTC